AAAAAAAAAAAAATTTTTTTTTTTTTTTTTTTTTTTTTTTTTGCTTCATTCTCTTAGAATCAGCTTCAGAAATTGCAGTTCTCCTGGATCATACAGGTACGAAAGCATCAGTCCAGGAACAAAAACCAGTACTGAACTTTACTGCCCTGCTAGGGAAATTTTAGCATTTTACTAAGCAGCTCTATTGTTTGCAGTGGTTGATTCCTCCAATGAGAAAATCTTCTCAACACTCTCATAAACAAGAAATGACTTTTGTTACAGATAATCATGTGAGTTCTGTTCAACTAATTTGGTAATCAAAACAAATGACTAGAGGCTAAAAGTATGTCTATTGTTAGGAAGATTTTTCTTTTTTATTTCCAGAAATTGTATCTGTAATCAGATGCTGCAAAGTTTCTTGATTATTCCTGCAATAAAAAACTGTCTCTGGAAAAATTAGATACTATCAGAAGAAGAAAAATATTACACAAGCCCAAATATGTTCTAAAGTGAGAAGTTTATTACATTACATTATTGCAGTAGACAAGATTTGTGATGATCCATAACCCTATTGCCAAACCTTAGTTATGTGTTGGCAAGTATATATCTCTTCTTGTATATTACTTAGTATATGCCTCTATTTTGATATAGAAGTACAGATTCCTACATTTATGAAACAAGAAAACCCCAAAATGAAAATTATTTGTGAAACACTTTAAATTTTTGTTTGTGTAATGCTAGGTTGTGTATGTAAAATGTTTCATGTGAAAAAGTGCTAGTTATACTTAATAGGTACAAAAATTATTATTATTATAAGTACAAAATTTTGAATCTGATTTAATCTCACTTTGTTAATCCTCAGGAAAACAGTTTTACAGGTGAGCTAACTGTGCAGAGACTAGTGCTTTCAGGAATAGATCTGAACAGCAATGACTTTCAGAGTCTGAAATTAATTCATGGTTCTTGCCCTGTATTTTTATGTTTTACTTCTTGGAATGTCTGCAGCTCTGGATATATGTTTTTCAGTGTGACACCTTGAATCTGTTCTGTTAATTGCTATAATCTAGTCTGATTATTTTAAGAACTCATGAGATAATTTTTTAATGAAAGGAAAAGCTGCTGAAGACAACTTTCCAATAAATGTATAACAGAACAAAATATGAAGCTTACTTAGAATTTCTGTTTAGCACCTATCATTTCCCTAGATTGAGTTCTGGAGTACAAGGGAGAAACAGAAACTCCAGCACAAGTGTACATGACGGCTTAAGCTCAGAACTGATGCAGATGTAAGGGAGGCCAAACTCAGTAATGTTTCAGCAATTCTATCAACTCTGAAATCACAACTCTGGTATTCTTGAAATAATATTTAAATTATGTGGTTGGTTGGTTTTTTTTTGCTTTATTTTTTTCCTCCCAATAACCTATTATTTCTTGCTGCTATTTCTATCAATTACAGAAAACTATGCTTCGATTTTTTGTTTTTAATGAAACATTTACAACAACTGTCACTGAAAATATTTTCTAGAGATGTTTACAAACACTAAAGTTCTGGAAATTTGAATGAAAGTGATGTTCTTATGCAAAACATTCAGAGAGGGCTAAACTTCTGCTTCTACTTCTTCTCAGTCTTTCTTCAAAACTACCTTCTCATAAATGGAAAAGTACATGGCTGGAATATAGTTCTACTGTAGATAAATGCATCTGTTGATGTACGTCAAAGCAACGATGAGGACAAACTTTTTGAAACAAGTAGTATTCCGGCAGGCATTCCTACTCTCAGTATCTGCTAGGGACAACTACCACAAAGTGGCGCTGTTGCAAAACTAACGGGGGAAATCCTGACTATAAAATGAGCCAAGGCACCCATCAAACCCAGTGAAAAGCTTCATCCATTTATTTACTAATATACAAATCTTCTCTATAAGTATTCTATTTTATTAACATAAAATGGAATTATAGGGGTATCTTAATATGTTAAGGAAAAAAGACTGCCTTCGCAGTGAATAAAATATTGCGTATTCTGGAGTCTAATGAAATACCAAATTAATCAGATAAATGACTAGTTATTATTTCAATTAAAATCCTCAAAAACTGAAGATTATTTCTACAATATGCTCAGAGCAATATTTCAATTTCTTCAAGACTTAGAGATTTTGCTAAAAGTAACAAACATGATTGCTATGTCAGAATCTTGGATCAAAGGACTATACTTAAAATAACAGTTTGAGATCTTTATTTTTCGTAAAACAAAACAAAACAAAATAACCAACCATAAAGCTTGTTTGAAGTGTAAAAAAAAAAAAAAAAAAAAAAAAAAATTAATAAAATCTGTTTGTTTTAAGGCTTATCCTTAGAAAACAAGATATAACATGGCACCAAATGACCTAGCAGAAGATGTAAAAATATCTAGAAAAAACATTTAAGGAGAGAAACATCTTTAGAGAAAAATGTGCAAAACTGCAAGTAACAAGCATGTTTCCATTTTCTATAGCTGTAAAAACACACCGTCTACAATGCTTTTAACAGTGCATGCATATTTGGCAAGATTAAGTTGTCACATCTCATGTTACAAGGTGTCTGACAGCCCACAGACACAGACAAAGTACCAGGCAAAATCCCTCAATTCATGCATACTGCCTGGCTCTGGTAGATTCACCTCCCATCAGAGGGAGGCAGCCCCTTTGCTTGGGACATTTAGTTGTACACTATTTGTTTTCTTTTTTTTTTTTTTTTTTTTTTTTTTTTTTTTTTTTTCTGGACTACCTGCAAATGTAAAGTTCCTAGGGTAGGGTTGCTTTCAGAGCTTAACCCTTTGCCTACCTCTGGAGGAGCATTCACAAGCCAGGGGAATGATTTCTATTCCTAGAGCTGTTTATCTACTTGAGGAGACTAAAAGCTGAGTCATATTTTAGGCATTTCTCAGATTTGACTAGCGTGTTGGGATAGGGAGAAAGGAGTTAATTCTTACATCCTTTTAGCTGAGAAAGGTCTAAAAAGGATGGAAACTGTGTTCAATCAAATAGCAAAGACAAAAAGGCTCATGAGCTGTTCAAGATTTGTGTTGTGCAGTTTTCGGAATATCTCTTGGTTTGGTTGATTGTTTTGGTGTTTTTTTTATGTGAATTGATGAAGCAGTAGTTTTCAGTGGAATGAATGCTCTTAAGAGTCAATGATAGAAGATTACTCTCCGTTCACATCTGGGCAGTTAGGGAAAATAAGCAATTCAAGAAGCACTTAAGAAACAGATGCAATATATAGAATTTAGACTTCTTTAAATAGCATTATCTTATGGTTGAGAAAATTTAGGTAAAGGACAACAACTACAAACAACACCTACCATGTACCAATTCACAGTGGAAAATATTTTATAAAATGGTGGCAACTATCTAGGTTGAGCTTGAAGATGATGGTACAGTGCTTTGACAACATTAGAGGTCTAATAATCCTTACAAAGGGAGGAGAAAGAGTAAAATTTGTTTGTTAAAAAACAAAAGAGAAAGGTTCATGATCTTGTGAAGCATCTGATTACTTCCATTTTGAAGTATTGTATCTATATTATATCTATCTTATATAAGCAGATTCTTATGGTTATTACTTGTTCAACTATGCTTGAATCAAATAGAAAAGAAAGATGACTTAAGCATGTAAATTTAGAGGGAGACTTAGAGGAATGCAGCTAAATTTATCAGCCATCTCTGTGAGCAATCTCTAAATAAGAATTTTAGAAACCAGTCACTACTGGTTGCTGATTAACTTTCCATATTTTTGGCACTCACCATCTTTTTCCTAATGGACTAATCTGCAAATCAAAACTGGAGGCATATCTGGACAAAACTCAACTCTAAGGTCTATTCTTTCTATTTTTATGATGTGAGGAGTGACTTGGCTGAGAGAAACAATGACAAAATAAATAAATGTGCCTAGAATTTGGAAGTAATAACAATAACAATAATAATAATAAAGCCAGAGAGAGACTGGAAGTTTATGGCTTTTCAGTTCTGTTTCTCTATTTCACCTGTTTTGCATGTCCTATAATGATTTCTAAATATGGATTAGAATAGAAACTCATGATGGCAGTTTGACCAAAGACTGCATCTGTGTATATATGTGAGTATGCATGTGAGAGACAAAGCAAGTGTGGGGGGAAGAGAGAGACAGAGAAAAAAAAGAGAAAGAAAGAGACAGAGACAGAGACAGAGACAGAGAAGAGGGAATGGACTATTAGAGTTGTACATTCCTGCAATGAAATACTTGTCTTCTGAGAGTCACAGTCCAGAAGAGATTGTTTTATCGTAATGATTTAACAAAAGAATTACAAAGAATATTCCTGGGTACTAAGACTTTTCCTTATAATATGAAAAGATTTTGACAGGAAAAGGAATGAAATTATTAGTTGGAACAAGAAAAAAAAAATAATTAAAAAAAAAAACAAAAATAAAAATAAAAAATAGACGCATTATGGGTATTGTAAAGCATATAAGAGAAAAAAAAAATTAGACTTTTATGACAATTATGTTATTTTCAAAAAAATGTGTTGCTCTCTGAAATTCCCCAGCCAGGCAAAATTTTTATAAACAGTAGGCAGTGAAAGTAGAGTATGGCAATAAAAGGGTTAATCTACAGAGCAGAGCCATCTGGCTGAGCTGGTTTGTTATAATCGGGGAGATTATGTTCACGGGACTCAGAGTTAAAGGCTCCTCTCCCATAGAGCAACTCTGCACAACCCAAGCAGACAACTTTGGGACTTTGAATGAACGTATTTACATTTACCTTTCTCTTCATGTCGACTTTTCTGGAAACATTTACACGGATGCCATGGTTACTTCTACCACGGTAAGGGAAATTTGACGTTTTCTAATAGGGTCCTAAGAGGGCGGGGAGAGGAGGGGGGAGAGGGATTCTTTAAAGAATTACAATGGTAGTTTGGGAGGGGTGTCTTGCAAGAAGTAGATCTGTCCCAAATGTTGATGCGTTTCCCATTGTGCCTCCTCCTTCCCCCACCTCTAATTGCCCTACAGCTTGCTTTAGTCTTGAGATTCCTCTCTCCTCCTGCTCTGTACACTGTTGTTTAGATCCCCGGTAAGAAAACAGTGGAGGAAAAATACGAGGTGCTAAAGGAATCTAATTTAAGAGGCAGAAACAAAGGAGACTCTTGGTTTTAAGACGGAAACAAGAAACTTCAGATGTAACAAAAGGAGTTGCAAATCTTGCGTAGCGGTTGCAGGAACCAGCGTCAGAATACACAGCAGACTTGCCCTAAGGGAAACTTAGAGCCCATGACACGCAAAGTCAAAATTCCTAATTCCTAGACTTCTCCTGTCTCAGGTACTTAACTTCACTGGAGCTTTGTTATTTTTTGTGCAAGTCAGAAACTGGAAACCCTACTCATGACCTTTGAATCAATCACCCTTCCCCTCAAAACCAATACTAAATTCTCTGGAAGGAACTGGAGATCAAAGGATACCCTGTACATCTGTGGCTAGGTGAAAAAGATACACTCACTTTGTGTGTAGGATGGTAGGGTGACTTACTCTTACAGTACAATTTTCAGTGTTCAGTAAGCGTCCTCTAAGAATGCAGCACACAACAAATAAATACAGACATATAGAGAGCAAAGTAGAAAGCTGTTTCTCATCTAAACAGCTGAAATGCAGCTTAAAGCATTAAGTTAGTTACTGGCGAGTCTTTATGGAGTTACCAAATGTTATTAGCTAAGAGGGGAAAAAATCCTTGAATGGTTTAGATAGTTTTCTGATCAGTTCTTAATCCTTTATTAAAATAAACGAGAAAGCTCTGTGCTGGTCCTATCTCTTGAACTATAAATACGCATTATTCAGAGAGATGGATATTTTGGAATGAAAAGGGCTGCTATGCACACATTCTCTCAGTCCTATATTGCAAAACCAGTTATTTAGAGGGGAGTGGGTATGTGCTTTTTCTTCCCTTTTTAAATAAACAGAGAAGTGTGCTGTATGGTCCAGACAATTGTTATGAACTGCAGAGTTTCAAAAAGCACTCTTAACTCTTAAGCTCATGTGATTTGTTGCATGAGAAGTGCAAATGGTATGTAAAGTTTGACTTAACACTGTGCCCTCAGGAAAATACCCAGACAAAAAAGAAAGACATTCTCAGGCACTGAAATATGTGGCCTGTGCAAGTGTGTAAGGAGAGGAGTGGTACAAAAACACTTAAGATGTCAGAAAAACGAAAATAACTAAACTACCTTGCTTTGGGAAAAAGTAGACAAAAGCAGTAGAGAATGAGAGTTAAGCATGGTTTCAACAACACATAGTATAAAGACTTGTACTTTTAGATACACATGTCAGCACTAGAAGCTGAGTCTGTTAGCATGGTAGGGGGAGGAAAACAACGTACGATTGCAGATTGAGGTCTCAAAATATGGGGAGAAGATAAACCAGAAGGGTCAGGACAGGAGTGCTTTGTGTAGGAAGGTGGTATATTTTGAGGTAACCAATATATTTAGTGTTTCTTATTTATTTATTTTTTTTCCCCAGGGAAAAATTAACTAAATAACTCATAGAAGGAAATACCTCAGGAGTTTGTAGGGAGAGTATTAGGTGCTGAAAATAAACCACAATATACTGTGCTATATTTTGGGTACTTAGAGCAGGTAAGCCATGCAAAGGTAGTTAGCATAACAGGGAAACTACTGCAAGTCAACTGGACAGAGAGAATGTTCATGGATGGAGAAAAGTTTAGGACTCAGAAAGGGAAGTATCACTTGAGAGGGATGGGAAAAGATGCAGACTGGATACTGGGTGAAAATATGAAAGGGACCTACAAGGATGTAGGAAGGGTGGGTGGGGGATATGCAGTGGGAGTTTAGAGAGAATGGTGAAAGCACAGTGCAGGAAGGATGTCTGGAGGAGGAAGAAAAATGCACATAGGTTTCTCTGAAAGTAACACCTTCCTGTTTATTGTCATTAAATTGCAACAAAGAGCACAATTACACTATTTGATATAGCATATTCTCAGTTACAAAACACTATTTTTCAACAGTCACCTCCATTAACTATGCATTTTCACCAGCAATGAAAAAGAGCCTGCATACCACATTCACAAATATCTGCATGGCTGTCTGGAACGTGGCTTGTCTTTCATATCCACCTATGATGTAGTAGGCCAACAAAGTAAAATAGGAGGCATTACTTTCAGAGCATCTCTCATATATTTGGATAGAAGCATGAAGAGCTATGAGAAATTTCAGAGGCTATAAGCCTGCTGGAGTATTGTGGACATGTTGTGACTGGTTATGAGCAAAGGCAGAATAAAGGAAAAAGCTGTGTGAAGGTATTGTGAGGAAATGCAAGATAAGTAAAATTATGGGGACAAGGAGAACTGTGAATATGAAGATTTGGCAGTTCTCATGAAGCATGAGAATGAGGAATGAACGAAGAATGAAGAATAAAGAGGGTATAAGGATAATATTAAGAGCTGGGTTTTCTGTAAAGATCAGTGAGCAAAGGGTAGTCTAATGGAGGTGCAGGACAAGAGAGCACAGGAAGGAATATTAGTTTTGTATTGCTCTGAAGACAAACTGAGGAAGTAGTTCAAAGGTGCAATAGTTATTTGCCTATTAGAAACAAAGGATGCCTCTTATCTGCAGTTAGGATGGAACAGGCAACATGTAACAGGGGAAGTAGCTGAGGAAAGTAGTGGAAAGTAACAAACAGTGTTGGATTAGGAGAACACATACAAATAAAAAGGAATGATATTTTATTAAGCAAGATGCAACTAATGTACCTATGACTCTGTAGTAGGCACTAGCTAAAAGAAGCAGAAAGAGGGAATGGAACAAATGTGGATAGGTTAGTGGAGTTAGAACTTATAAGGCACGAATTGGGATTAAATGAGAATGACAGCTCATTTAACAAGGGGTGAGAAATGATGGTGTGTGAGCAAGCAGAGAAATTATCAGTTAGTGTGTATTTATAAGGATTACAGACAAGGTGGTAGAAGTGAACAGCTATCTGATAAGTGAGTTGTGCACACAGCATGCTCAAAATAAATGAAGTACAGGTAACTAGTATAGAGCTGGGTGTGGGACCTGGGAGAATGACAACAATTTGGGGTGAAGAAAGGAAGAGCAACGAAGATTGGGAAGGATTTTATGGGGGTGTAGACAGTCTGCAGTTATCTGTCTCTTACTTTGATGAAGGCTGTCTAAGAATGCAGGCAGAAATGCGTGTGTAGATGGCAGCATAAGAGCAGCCTGGGAGCTAAGTGCAAGGGGCAAGCAAGCAAGAGGCACAGAAAAATGCATATTGTGAATGATGATAGGTGTGTGGATATAAGCAATCACAGAATCATGGTAACACAGGAATAGGAAGAGACCTCTGTAAAACATCAAGTCCAACTCTCCTGCTAAAGCAAGTTCCCTAGAGTAAGTATCACAGGAAAGTGTCCAGGTGGGTTTTTAATATCTCCAGAAAAGGAGACTTCACAATCTCTTTGGGCAGCCTGTTACAGTGCCCTGCCACCCCCAAAGTAAAGAAGATTTTTCTCAAGTTCATATTAAACTTTCTATGCCCTTTCATACCCTTTGCCCCTTCTTCTGCCTCTGGACACAACCAAAAAACATCTGACCTCACCCACTTAAGATATTTATAGGCCGCCAGGAGACCTAGATCCATCTCTGCAGAGCTCCTTCCAGAAGGTCAGCCCTTAACCTGTACTGATACATGGAATTATTCCTCCCAAGGAATATCTCCATCTATCTCTGCAATTGCCCTTGTTGAACACCATAAAATTCCTCATCACCCAACACTCTAGACTGTCCAGGTACCACAGAATGGTAGCACAGGCTTCTGGTGTGTTAGTGCTCCTCCCAGGTTTATGTCATTCACAAACTTGCAGCAGGTGTTCCATGTCCCTTCATCTATGTCAGCAATGAAGATGTTGAACAAGACCACACCCAGAACTAACCCCTGTGGAGTTCTGCTAATTACAGGTCTCCAACTACACTCTGGGCTGCTGATCAAAACACTATGAGCTCTGTCAAGTAAGCCAGTTCTCAATCCACCTCACTGTCTGTTCATCTATCTCACACTTCCTTAACTATGAGGATGTTATGGAATACAGCATCAAGAGCTTTGCTAAAGTCAAGATAGACAATACCCACTGTTCTCCTATCATCTACTCAGCCAGTGATGATATCATAAAATACTACAAGATTGATCAAGCATGATTTCCCCTTGGTGAATCCATGTGGACTACTCCTGATAACTTCCTTTTTTTCCAATTTCCTGAATATAACATCCAGAATAAGTTGTTCCATCACCTACCTAGGGAGAAAAGTGAGGCTGACTTTCAACGATGACAAAGAACAATTCAACAATTACTTTTGCCAGATCCCTCAGCACTCATGGGTGCTAACTATCAGGACCTGTGGACCTGTGGGCATTGATTTTGCCTACACAATCTCTGACCAGATCTTCCTCAACCAAGTAGAAGTCTTCCTTTCCCCAAACTCTCTCATGTCTCTAGGGTCTTGGATACCCAAGGGGCAGTCTTAACAATAAAGACTGAAGCAAAGAAGACATTCAGCATCTCCACCTTCTCAGCATCCTTTATTATCAGAGCACCCACCTCACTGAGACCCACATTTTCCCTAGACTTCCTTTTTATGAAGACATACTTAAAGAAGCCTTTCTTGTTGTCCTTGCTAGATTTAATTCCAAGTGGGCCTTAGCCTCCCTCACTTCTTCCCTGCAGCCCCTGACACCATTCCTATATTCTTTCCAAGTTACCATACCCTTTTTCCACATTCCGTAAACTCTTCTACTTTTTCCATGAGGTCTTGATTCATGCAA